CTTTCCCCACCTTCCTTTTTCTCGTTGTGCTATATTTCTGTGACCAGTAGGCACATGTAAGGAGACCCTTCTGCAAAGCATGAATGGAAACCCCTTGTATGCAGTCCATGCATGGAAATTCAAGTTATAGCAGGTCTGAGACTACTGAGGCAATCTAGATGAGAGTTTTTGGCTAAGGCCCACAGTTCAGGAAGCCTCGAACCCTCTCTAATGTGACAACCTGCATTAGGTTTATTGATCTACACTGGGAGACTTGTATTTGCCTCTCTGATAGTTTAGCCCATACTACATTGTGGAAGAGAGACAGATGCTGTAACCTCATTAGCAGGTTGGAAGATGAACATACCTTAAACTGTCTTGCCAGGTGCTGCTTGTGGCTTTCTTCCACTTGCTTGAACTTTGTTTCCAACCCCCTCATCTGGTTTTCCATCTTCTCAACATATTGCAGGTCTCTCTGGGTCCGCCTGTCCAACACCTCTATTGACTGAGACATGTTTTGCACCTGTCAAAAAACAGGCAACACGTTTATAGGGGGGACTAAAAAGCTTTCAGAAAAGCCAAGCAGCCTCATTTCCCTTATGATACAAAACTTTGACCTTTTCCCACTTAGTCAACAAAGCTAAAGAGTAATCAGCATATGCATTATTTACCAGTTAATCAACAGCATCTGATCGTATTATGCCCACGTGCTCCAAAACACAGCAAATTAGTTTCATAAACATTTATTCTGCCATGCTCTAGCAAATAATCCAACAATCATAAATGCAAATAAGGATTGTAGTCAAGAATAAAATGCATTAGTCTTAATGGCCTCTTTGATAGGCTGAATCTGCACACAATGCCTGCTTTTGCAGGAGGAAAGACTATTCGTTAAACAGAAGCCTATTTGCTTAAGAATGGTGTTTCTATTCAGGTATAAATCACCATTCTTTCATGTACATAAGAGGCATTCATTGATTGCCTAAGTGCAAACTTTCAAATCCAGCTAGTAAAACCTCACTAGCCAAATAGCCTGGTCTTTGTTTTATTATTTGCAATATCATCCGTCACTAAAAATACATTGACTGGCAAGCAAAGGCGTATAAACTGGTAAATAATGCATTCCTGAATCTGAGGTTTCTGATTGTAATGGTCATCGTTTCAAGAACTTTTATTATTGGAATCAATGCTATATACCACCAACACCCTTAGCGATTTAAGTGCCAAAAGCTGCTGTTATGCAGTGATGTAAGTGCCACTTGGGTGTGTGAAGGGGAAATACGATTTGGCCCTTGGAATCTCAACTTTCATACGCTGTAATCATTCATCTGCACCTGTGGTGAGCGCACCAGCTGTTGGGATTAAGGGACAAAGATCGCTGGGACTGAACAAGGTGCAAAGAAGACAGCAAATAGATAATCAAAATGAACTGGTTTTAAAGAGGCACTATCACCTGATTTATTAAAATATCCCTCCCTAATACACCTTTTTGATGTAACGTTGTTACAACTTGCTCAGCAAAGCACTGAAGCATAGCCTTAGTGTATATATTTCATCCTTATGCATGAGTAGCTTGTATGCTGTTGGGGCAAGGACTGTCTTTTCATGCTGTGTTTACACAGTCGCCCAACAGGGACCTGGTCCATGGTGCAGCTTCTAGGCCTCAGCATGATACAAACATATTCATAATGATAAGTCCATTGGCATCACTTTGGACTGCTCTTGCACTTGAAGTTAAGAAGGCGTTTCAGTGCCTTTCTGAACTGAGTCATGTCCAGTTCCCGTTACCATGAGAAGCTAACCACAACCCAAATCTTAAGGCAACATTGCTCTCTCTCCTATGACTTCATATTGCAAATAAGCTCCATGAAGTTCTCCGAATGCCATGCTGCCACAGCTAGCTCCCAATTTCACATTCAATGGCTCAAGGAACGAGGAAACGTTGGACCATTTCAACAGTTCCCAGAGCCAGCATTTCCGCCCCTGAACGTCTTTGAGCCATTGAAGCTCATCTTCAGCTAGGACTGCGGCAATGATGGCGATCCCAGCAGGACCTCCAAACACCTCTTGAGCTTTGTTGGGGACAGCCCAGCAAGACATCCCAACATCTTTGCATGTTTTCTGTAATGATTGGAGCTTCACCTCATCAGCATTTGAAGACAGTGAAAATACGATACGGATTGATTCAGATTATTATGGAGAACCTACACATTGGGGTTCGGTGGCTTGGGACTTAGAAGGAGAAGTATCTTGTCCAACTGGGATGAACAAAATGAGGGCCAGTAAATCATTACCCTGGGCTCAGTGTTCAAAATGGAAGCATTTTTAGGCTCTGTCACCTACATCCATCCACCTCTGTCCCTGCATCAGCAGCCAGTTGTGTCGCCACCCAAGACAAGCCCTTCACATGAGCTGCCTTGAATGGGGTGGATGAGAAAGAGAGGTCAACACCCCATGGTGCTGGCAATGAGGAGTAAGGCAATCATTTCCCCTCACTGGATGCAAAGGAATTTGAGGACCTTCTCCTGGACTGAGGAAGAAGAGGGTGGCTTGTCTACTCTGATTCTCCTTGCTGGATATCCTCATCCTGTTGAGTCAACCAATCCTTTCTTGAGTCAAACCGCATCCCCATAACAGAGCCACTTTATACATTAACCAAACAGAACTGGGATTAAGTTTAGGAGTCTACAACATTGGGCAGATGAATTTAGCCAGCATTTGTTCCAATTAAAAGCCCAACGCTGCACAAATTAATGCAGGCAAATGAGGACAGGGTGCTAATGTGGTAACATACTGTAAAGAAAGCTATTTCAGCAATGAGCTTGATGGAAAGTGCAAATCCTTTCCAGTCACTGCTAATAAGGTTGAATTTTTTTTTGTTTTAAGAATCATCCATGGAGAGGCATTTAAAAAAAAAATCAATGTCTTTGATTCTGGATCTTCAAAAATAAAGCACACTTTATCATTTAACGATCTCTTTGTTTTATCTGATTACCATATGAAGGCCTTGATTCAGCAAAGCACTTAAAGCACGTGACTTGGCTTCCCTGAGATGCCCCATGAGTTTCAAGTTAAACGTGTGCTTGTCCGCTTCAATGGACTGAGGTTAAAGACATTAACTCTTTAATTCCACCCAAGTCTCCTCGTTAGGTTCAAAGTTACCCTGAAGAACCTCAGCTAAAACGATTGCTTCTACCCACAAGTTGGAAATACACCTAGTCCAAGTGTGCACAGAAATTAATGTTCCAGAAACTTAATAGGATGGACAAGCTGATGGCTGTCATGGGGAAAACATTTGATTTTAACTTGGGGAAGCAGAAAATTAATAAATCGTGCTTCAGATTCTTCTACTGGTTATGCCAACCTCTTTGACATTGAGTTACTCCCGATTTCTCCCAGGGTAACCAGGAGCAGAATTTGGCCTGACAGCTCTAGGAAGGCACATACGCTAGGTAATACATTCAAAATCCTGATCGTGCTGATCTGTGGGCTATGCCCTTTGTGGTGCAGAGCACTTATGTAAAAACAATCCATCTGGCTCACGTGGGGGCTGAGCCCTTCGTCTCTGGATATAAATGCAGGAGACACTACTGCAATAGCCTGCAAAGATAGGGGCAAATTGGGTGAGGATCAGGACAACAGATCATGAGGGCTCTCATCCAGATCTGCAAGCAATGAGGGGAGAGAGGAGGCCCTCTGGACTCTTCCCATCAGCAAAAGAAGGATGTCAGGGGTATGATATTAAGAGCCAACCTTATGAAAGGAGTCTATAAAAGCCTGGCAACAAAACGGGACAAGAGGGAAACATAACATATACCCTAGCACAAGAAGATGAAGAAGAGCTATTTAAGTTAAAGGACACTGTCACCAGGACAAGTGCCCATGAATACATTTAGCTGGAGATTAGAAAGTGTTTAACCATCAGAGCGACACAGTTCTGCAAGACCCTCCAGGGACAGTGGGGGGTAAAAAAGCCCACCTTGCTGTAAAATGAAGAGCAAGAAGCATCAGAGAGGGATTATTGGGATTTGATATACTTGCCTGTGATATCAAGGGAGCTGAACTACTTGACCGGGGAGTTTCCTTCGAGTCCAATGTTCCTTCAGCCAAAGGATGAGACCAATAGCAGTCTCCTAAGTCTCTACCCTTAGTCTATCCACCAGGGAATGATGGAGGGCTGGACTGTGTTAGCTTTTGTTCCACCCTACACTTCTTTAAGCTCCAAGAGGTCCTTGGAGGTACTTGGAAGGTGCTACCTACATTGGACCCTATCTTTATTTCTCTAGGTTAGTATCCACGTTGTTTAGAGCAGCTTTGAACCTGAACCTCTACTGAATTGCCAACGCCTGTGGACAAAGCCCAGAATTCAAGGTACTGCACTTTGCAAAGGAAGAAATCCCTTCTACTTCTCACTCGCATAAATACGCTGATGCCCTAACCAGTTCAGAGGATGTCTTACTCCCTCCAAAGGTGAACAGTAGGTTATAGTGCTTTCTTCCTTTGAAAACTGAACCACTAGCGTACCTTTAATATGGTACGTTTCTTTGGGAATTAAAAAAAAAAAGAGATGATAATTTTCTCATCACAGAATTAAGGGACTAGAAATGCCGGTCTTGAGGGGGGTGCAAAAATAGTTGCAAATCTTCTATGGGTGGTTAGGGGTTTTCCAGAAGTGTTCGCAGTCGCACTTCACTAAGAGGATTTTGTTCCAGTGGTTAGCAAGGTCCGAGGTCTGGAGCGTCATGTGAACCACTAGGAATTGCCCTTTTCTTTATAACTTCTCTTATGGATTGGTGTGCGTGTTAGCTCTAGCTAACAGACTTGGAATATCATTTTTCCCTCTTTGTATGCGCTGGTAGTCACCAAACTGTTTGTCATCCAAGGAAGAAAATGATCATCTGATAATTCAGCACGGTCTCTCTTGGTAATGACAGCATCTCACATCTCTAATACCGTAGCTACTCTTTCCATTAGAGTCGGGGTTAAATGAGGCTTGTTTTGCTCAGGTGAGTAGCTCCAGGAAGCCGGTGGATCTCTGAACTCAGGGCAATCTGATAGCTCAATGCTTGTTCCTTCTTAGCTCAAGGTTTGCACTATTGGACAAACTGTTCTTATTTCTTCAGGGGGAAAAAAAAAGCCTCTGTGATTATTTTTAGAAACTCGTGCTACTCGCACTGGGGAAATGTTAAGGGCCAGCGTGCTCATTTCTCCATTAATATACTCATAGAGATTCAAATCTTTTAAGTGTAGGTTTGTAATCGTTATGAGTGACTAATGCATCAATTTTCTCTAAGCATCAGGATAAAAATTATTTTGTCATGTACATAGCATGCTGGCACAGTATTTAGACATAAAGGATAATTACATACCCAACACAAGAGTCCGCTTGTGTTAGAAAAAAACCAAAAAAAAACAAGAAACCAACCCAAAAAAATAAAGAATGACACCATTTCCCAAGGAACAGAGTTTCCTCACTGGAGCCTATTACCCAGAAAATTTCCTGTTAGCAGGATGGGTCCTTAATGAGATTCTTTTGATCTTGCTGGATGGCGGACTATTAAAAACTAATCAAACGGGTGTCAATGTTAAAAAGAAAACCACCAACTATCATTTCATTATTTGAAGTTGATGACTTGTGCTGTTTTATTCAACCTTTCAAGTATCAATTCAAGCCAAAGTGCACAGGCTTCATTTTCAATTCTAGTCCCCTCTTGTCTTTCTGAAATTCAGCCTTTGAAAATACTTGTGTTAAATTAATGAAAAACAACATTATTAGGGTCAACTTCCCCCCTCCTCCCCATTGAATCATGCAGGTCCCTATCACATTTCATAGCAGCTTGTGCAAGATCTCTGCATATACCTACGTCCTTCATTACCAAGCTGTCTAGACACCGCAGAGCCATGAATGAATTTACCCTCAGACCTGGGAGGAATGATTATCCCCATTTGCCCAGTGAGGGAATGAGACACAGAAAGACTTGCGCAAAGTCTTGCAAGAGAGTCAAGAATTGAGTCCAGATTTTCTGCATGTTACCCGCTGTCTTCACTTAAGACCCACCCCACGCCTCCCCTCCCCAGCCCTTCCATATTGCACTCCAGGCTGTTACCTTTTCTAATAGCTGCCTCAGCTGCTTTGTCCTAGCATCACGTGAGCACATCGTCTGTTGGGGTGCCACCACTGTGCATATACAACGTCCCTCGCTGTCTTGGGCAGAGCTGTACACCTGCCAGCTTTCCTCTGGGTTGGTAGGCAACACCTAATCGACACACAGAAAAGGGGGTTAAGTAAAGCAGGGGGACTTGCAAAGGGGTAGCCAGAGCATGGGGAGATGGTACACAAGAAAACACAGGCGTGGACCCTATTTCAGTGCAAAAGAGCAATGGATATGTATCTCATGGAAGACAGAGGAGAGGTTTCTCTGAACGCCCAGCTAGCAGGAGAGGACAGAAAGCATTTACAATGCAAAGATATGGATTTGGGACATACTAGCTCCGTGCCTGGTGGTATGAAAAAGAGAGCAAGAGCCAAAGCAGATGAATAGGGATGGGGCAGGGGAGACCAGGGGGATGGTATGTAGCAGAGAAAATCAGGGTAGTAGGGTCTGGTTAGCCTGCTGTAACACACTAGTTGAGCGAGCTCTGAAGCACACGGTGGCTGGGTGAGAGCTGATGAATAAGATGCACTCGATTCCTCCTTGACACGCTGAGAATGAAGTGCATCCCGAGCTAAGGGGGAGTTTACAGCCTCCTTGGAGCTAAGCTGTAATCAATGGGCATCTGCAGAGCTCTCCAAGATCCTGAAACAGGAAAATTAGCCTGGAACAGTAAAAGGCCCCTTGCATTTTCACCCCCCAGCCCCAAGCCCCAACCAGCCCTGCCAGGCTCCTCGCCAGCACTGCAATATTTTGGGAAGGGTTCAGCAAATCCATGGAAGGGGAATCCCAGACTCATTGCCTGTGAAAGCCAGCCAGCTAAGGAGGGAGGCAGCCTTGCGGATGTAACCAGCCTCTCCAGCAGGGCTTCCATAATGCACCGACGGAAAGGGAAGCCAGCAACTGAACTACGTTCATTTTCCAGCCCTGTTCTGCCCCAAAAGCACCGGTGATCTCCATTCCCTTTGATCACGCAACGTTTTGCACGGTGCATTATGTAATCAGAGCCTCATTTCTGATCACTTGGAAGAAAGCAGCATCCCCAAGCAAGGGGTGGGAGGGGGGAAGGGTGAAAAAAATGCTGTTTTGATTGATTAAATATATTCTCTATAACCTTGCAAACAGCCGAGCCGACAAACAGACGCAGGGGCAGAGAGAGAGAGAGAGAGGGATTCTGTAAAGCGGTCCAAATGATTTTGGGTCAATCCCGTTCTGGCAACGTGGCAGAAGCTACCCGCTTCACTCCCAGGGCAAAGACATGCTGCCTTCAATACTTTTCATCTTGAAACAGTGGAGCTGTTACATGCTACATCCTTTATGGAGACAGAAGCTTGCAGCCGGGAGGTGCGAGCTGTCAATGCCTTCCTGCTCAGGGAAGTAAGGAGTGTGATCCTCAGCCAATTCCAATAGATAAGAGCAGAATCTATAGTCTCCTTTCAGGGGAAGGAAGTGGAACAATAAGACCCGGCTGAAATACACTTGCAACTTCTCTGATGCATTTTCCAACCAGTAATGACTATCGATTGGAGGCATGTGAGTGCCTCAGCTCTGGGAGGGGGACCCTGCAACCAGGGTCCTTGGCCGAAATAGAGGGAAAAGTAGTGCCAGCGGGGGGGACCTCCAGACTTGCCTTCACCCCTGTGCAAACCCCACTATTTCTATGCAGGAGATTGGTGCCTAACAGGTTATGTAACAGGAGGGCCAGCTAAGAGGGGCATTACAGCACGGTTGCAGGCTGGCCAGGGGACAGCCAGCCCAGCCCGCAGTCTGTCGGCTGGGAACGTGCCCTTACCGTGCCCTTCCTCTAAGGTAGCAAATCTGCACACACCCAACTGGGGGTCAGACTGCACAATGTGCACACACCAAACTGGGGGTCGGACTGCAAATCTGCACCCACCAAACTGGGGGTCGGACTGCACAATGTGCACACACCAAACTGGGGGTCGGACTGCAAATCTGCACCCACCAAACTGGGGGGCCAGCCTGCAGAATTTGCACACCCCAAACTGGGGGGGTCAGACTACAAATCTGCACACACCAAACTGGGGGGACAGACTGCACAATGTGCACACACCAAACTGGGGGGGTCAGACTACAAATCTGCACACACCAAACTGGGGGGACAGACTGCACAATGTGCACACACCAAACTGGGGGGGTCAGACTACAAATCTGCACACACCAAACTGGGGGGACAGACTGCACAATGTGCACACACCAAACTGGGGGGGTCAGACTACAAATCTGCACACACCAAACTGGGGGGACAGACTGCACAATGTGCACACACCAAACTGGGGGGGTCAGACTACAAATCTGCACACACCAAACTGGGGGGACAGACTGCACAATGTGCACACACCAAACTGGGGGGGTCAGACTACAAATCTGCACACACCAAACTGGGGGGACAGACTGCACAATGTGCACACACCAAACTGGGGGGGTCAGACTACAAATCTGCACACACCAAACTGGGGGGACAGACTGCACAATGTGCACACACCAAACTGGGGGGGTCAGACTACAAATCTGCACACACCAAACTGGGGGGACAGACTGCACAATGTGCACACACCAAACTGGGGGGGTCAGACTACAAATCTGCACACACCAAACTGGGGGGACAGACTGCACAATGTGCACACACCAAACTGGGGGGGTCAGACTACAAATCTGCACACACCAAACTGGGGGGACAGACTGCACAATGTGCACACACCAAACTGGGGGGGTCAGACTACAAATCTGCACACACCAAACTGGGGGGACAGACTGCACAATGTGCACACACCAAACTGGGGGGGTCAGACTACAAATCTGCACACACCAAACTGGGGGTCAGACTGCAAATCTGCACCCACCAAACTGGGGGTCAGACTGCACAATGTGCACCCACCAAACTGGGGGTCAGGCTACAAATCTTCACACACCCAACTGGGGGTCGGACTGCACAATATGCACACACCCAACTGGGGGTCGGACTGTAAATCTGCACCCACCAAACTGGGGGTCAGACTGCACAATGTGCACCCACCAAACTGGGGGTCAGGCTACAAATCTTCACACACCCAACTGGGGGTCGGACTGCACAATATGCACACACCCAACTGGGGGTCGGACTGTAAATCTGCACCCACCAAACTGGGGGTCAGACTGCACAATGTGCACCCACCAAACTGGGGGTCAGGCTACAAATCTTCACACACCCAACTGGGGGTCGGACTGCACAATATGCACACACCAAACTGGGGGTCAGACTGCAAATCTGCACCCACCAAACTGGGGGTCAGACTGCACAATGTGCACCCACCAAACTGGGGGTCGGACTGCACAATGTGCACCCACCAAACTGGGGGTCAGGCTACAAATCTTCACACACCCAACTGGGGGTCGGACTGCACAATATGCACACACCCAACTGGGGGTCGGACTGTAAATCTGCACCCACCAAACTGGGGGTCAGACTTGATGCTCTAATAGGTCCCTTCCGACCCTAAAAATCTCCAAAACCGCCCGCAGCTGCAGCCGAACCCAGTCTCAAGCACAGCCCCCCTTGCCCCTTCCCAAGAACACCCCAGAGAAGCAAGGCTTTTTGCAGCCCATCACCCCTGAGCCCTGCAAAAGCCCATCCTCATCCCAGCCCTTGCAGAGCAGGAGGGGGATGCTCCCCCGGCATCCCGAGGGGATTTAAACCCGAAAGAAAGGTTGTTTGATTTTTTCTTCTTCTTCCAACTATTCCCCTCGGTCTAAGAAAAGAGATGCGCTTTGCCCCCAAGAGTCAGGGGGGTTAGGAGCTAATGCACTTTGCTGCGGGGGGTGGGGGGTACACCGCGCAGTCTCCCCCAAGCTTTAGCATCCCCCCCCAGAGCTCCTAACCCCGCTGCGCACTCACTCCCGTGCTCCGGTCCAGCGTGCCCCCCGTGGCGGCGGTCAACTTGGTGGTGTTGAGCCCCACGAGCGAGGGCAGCGTCTGCGACATCCAGTTGGTGATCATGGCCATGGTGCTGAGGACCACTCCGATCTTGAGCAAAGGCACCGACATCTCTGCGCGCCGGGGCTCCGGCCCCGCTTCATGCCCGGGCGGCCGGGGGCTGCGCGAGCC